TTTCCATTTGGTGAATGTGGTTGGCACGAAGACATTCTAAGATACGAACAAACATCTTCTCAAATTGCACAGTTTGTGGACTATGTTGCTGATCCTAATGTAATAAATTCTGCGGCTCAAATTATAGAAAAAGAGGCTGCAGGTTTGCTTATATACTTTCTTGTGTCTATTATAATTCTACAAATGTGATATTGAAAGTAAATATAAAATTTTATTCATTCTCGCTTATGTAGTGCTGAAGGATACGAAGAAGAAACAGTCTCAAATATCATGTTGTGAGTACTATTCGTATAAGTTACAAATTAGGTCTTCTGATAAGTCTGTGTTGTTTCACTCTGGTAGACTTTTTCAACAATATGTTGTGAATATGTATGTTAAAATAGAGACATCCAGATTGGATTATTTTCATAGTAATCAGAAACAAATTCGTGCTGAACTTTATCAAGGTATCGTAGACAGTATACATAATGGAGAAACAAGAGGGTACAAAATTGGAAAGAAATTTGTTTTACCATAATCATTTACATGTGGACCTAGAGATATGCTAAGGAGGTACTTATATGCTATGGCTCTTGTCCAACATTATGGAAAATCAGATTTATCTATAACTATAACATGTAATCCAAATTGGCCAGAAATTAAGCAAGAATTAAAACATAATGATGAGGTCCAGAATCGACCGGATCTTATTGTACGTGTATTTAGAACAAAATTAGAAGAACTTAAAAATGATTTATACAAGAGAAATATTTTTGGTCCTGTTATAGCTCATACATACGTGATTGAATTTCAAAAAAGAGGCATCCCTCATGCACATCTGTTGTTGATTTTTAACTGTGGTCATAAAAATTTTTCCACTAAAAAGTTCATAAAATAGTATCTTGTGAAATTCCTGATAAAAATATACATCATTATCTTCATTCAATTATTGTAAAGCACAATATGCATGGTCCTTGTGGAAATCTAAATACTAAAAACACATGCATGAAGAAAAATAGTTGTTGTAAAAATAAATATCCAAAGGATTATTGTAATAGTACTATGTTTGGAGATAATTCGTACCCAATATATAAGCGGCGTAATAATGGTATTTATATTAAAATGAGAGGTAAAATGTTAGACAATCAATGTGTTGTGCCATATAATCCTTATTTAAGTGCAAAATTCGACTGTCATATCAATGTTGAAGTATGTTATTCTATTAAAGCTGTTAAATATTTACATAAATATGTATACAAAGGATATGATCGTATTAATTTTTTGGTTGGCAAAAATAACATAGACAAAGACATTGATGAAATTTCTACTTACCAATCTGCTAGATAGATATCCCCACCTGAAACTATGCAGAGAATTTTTGCTTTTAATTTATCGAAAATATATCCAACTGTTTGTGCTTTACAACTTCATATCGAAGATCATTAATGTGTAACTTATAAAAATATGGACAATTTATCTTCTGTTATTGAGAATGAAAATACGAGAAAAACTATGTTAACTGAGTTTTTCCGAGTAAATAAAATAAGTGAATTTGCTTGAACGCTTTTGTATCGAGATTTTCCAACACATTTTGTTTGGAATGCATCTAACAAAACATGGATACCTAGAAAGAAGCAAATTGTTGTAGGACGAATTGTCTCGGTAACTCCATCTGAAGGAGAACGATATTTTCTTCGTCTTCTTCTTAATCATATTAGAGGTCCAACATCGTTTGATGATTTAAGGACTTCAATGGGGTAAATGTTGGTACATTTCGTGAAGCTGTGCTTCTCTATGGTTTATTAAATGGAGATACTCGTTGTGAAGAATGTTTATTTGAAACTATTATTTACGAAATGCCTTATTCTTTAAGACGACTTTTTGCTACGCTTCTTACAATATGCAATCCAAATAATCCTAAGTTACTGTTGGATAAATTTAAGCCTTGTATGACAAATGATTATGTAAATGAAAATATGCCCGCTGAAGTTGTCGAAGTACGAGCTCTAGAGGATATAAGTTCTATTTTATAATCACTTGGTAAAAATATAAAAGATTATGGAATTGTGTCATTTAACGTAAATATAGACGACGATGAAAGATTGATGAGAATGGTTGCAGAGGAAACAACCAAACTGGATATTGAAAGAAACTTTAGTTGTGCAGGGACGTTAAATAAAGAACAACAATTTGCATATAATACAATTATGGAAAAAGTACAAGATGAATCAAGTGGATTTTTTTTTTATCGATGGTCCGGGTGGGACAGAAAATACTTTTTTATATAGAGCACTCTTGGCTGGTGTCAGATGTCGACATTTCATAACTTTAGCAACTGCATCGTCCGGAGTGGCTGCATCTTTATTGCCCGGAGGTCGAATTGCTCATTCAAGATTTAAAATCCCTCTAGAAATGGTAGGTGAAGTCAACTGCTCTATTAGCAAGCAATCGGTATTAGGAACTTTATTGAAAATGTGTAGGCTAATAATTTGGGATGAGGCGCCTATGGTAAATCGTTGTGCTGTAGAATCTGTAGACAAAATACTTAGAGACATCACTGATTGTAACTTGCCTTTTGGTGGAAAAGTAATAGTTTTAGGAGGAGATTTTAGACAGATTCTACCAGTTGTACATAAGGGAAACAAAGAAGACATAATAAAGGCTAGCATGATTTACTCGTATTTGTGGCCTTCTTTTGTACATTTAGCACTGGTTGAAAATATGAGAGCGAGGTCCGATCCCATTTTTTGTGAATACTTACTTCGAATTGGAGGTGGAACAGAATAAAAACATACTTGCAACTGTATTAAGCTACAAAATAGTATAATTCTACCATTCGAAGATGAAAGTACGTCTTTAAAAAATTGATACAATGTTTGTTTCCCAATATAGACACACATGCCGATCATTTATATACGATGATCAGTCGTGTTATTCTTACACCTACAAATGAATGTGTTGACTACATTAATGGACTTTTGCTTGAACAATTTCCTAGTCAAGGTTTCACGTACTATAGTTTTGATGAAGCAATTGAGAAATTATAACAAAGCCTATAGGAAGACTTCTTGAATACTTTAACACCAAATGGTATTCCACCTTATGAGTTGAAACTGAAGATAAATTGTCATGTAATGTTATTACGAAATATCAATCCTTCCAAGGGGTTATGCAATGGAACACGCATTACCTGTCAAAAATTTGAGAGAAATGTCATTCTTGCTGAAATCACAACTGGTGAATATCATGGAAAACGAGTTTTCTTACCTAGGATCCCTTTCATACCTATTAAAACTAATCGAACTACGATTCCATTTAAAAGGACTCAATTCCCAATTAGATTATGCTTTGCAATGACAATAAATAAAGCACAAGGTCAGACACTTGATTTCGTGGGTTTGTACCTACCAGAACCAGTTTTCTGCCATAGTCAATTATATATAGCACTGTCAAGAGCAAAAATAAGCAGATCTATTAAAGTTCTACTCAAATCGTCCAACGAATATCATACGCACAACTCATGTACTAAAAATGTTGTGTACAAGGAGGTTCTTTCGTTCATACATTCATACAACTACACCTCTTTATAGGTATATGTTCGATTTATTGGAATTTCTTTCTTTGTCCTCGATTTCTCTGTCGACTATGCTAAATGAAATGCTTTTTATTTTCCAACTACAATGTAGATGCTAGATTATTTTAACTAAGTTGTATCAACTTTCGTTTTATGAGATTTCGCAGTTTAATAAGTTTCAATACAATATTATGATTGTACAATTGTTTTTTAATGACTCATAGTTTGTATATTGCAATGAGCATCAGTGAGATTTCAGGTGAGACGACATAGTATATCTTTAGTTGTGATGTGACTCAGGATGCCCTACAAACAACGGAAGCATTAATGATTGATGAAGGGAGATTGAGGTCAATTTTTTTAGCATAATTGGAGGCTAAAAAGGGCGTTAAAGCTGACCATTATTTGTTCCAATATTCATAAGGAACCGAATCCAAGAATTGAGCGAAGTGCGAGGCTTCGAAGAGTTAATAAAGCCGGCTACTTTTATGCTCCAACTAAAGAGTCCAGCATGTTAAAAATCACATTCCAAGAATCAAGTTATAGGTTAAAGAGTAGAAGGCAAAATTTGAAAGTTGATATTTGGGTTGAAGACCAATTGAGCTTATTGCAACCAACTAGGAAACAAAGGCAAATGAAGTGGAGGAACTTGGTTACAGGAAATGGAATGAAGTCAATAAATGAAAATCGAACTGAGCCAGATCAACCTAAGGCAAACTACAAAATCTGGGCAGCTTGGGACAAGTTTAAGGGCCAAGTTAGAAGTTGGAAATGGAAGCTATAGCAAGCTAGAACAATGTGGATCAACATGGAACGGAGTAAAGCACCTTGGCTTGAAAAAGATATGGGATGATTGTAGCTTACATGCATGCAACCGCAACGCATAACCACTCATGCAGTCGCACAGACGGTCACAGGGAACTCAACGACAGGAATACACACAACCATGTGACCACATTAACATGTACCATGTGATCGCAATGCATCCGGAGCAGAATTTTTTCCAAAATTTCGGCCACTCACCAAAGTGAATAGGAGTCTATTTAGCTGATAGTTTGTTGGGATCCCTTGGCATTTCTCCCTTTATTGAATTAATTTTTTTAATATTTCTTTCTATATTTCATAATAGTTTTGGACGTATTTACTAGGTTTATAGTGTTTTATGATTTTAATTCCTTTTAAATTAGCTTTTATAATTTTAATACCTTTTAAATTAGTTTCCTAATTAGTAATATAACTAGGACTCTTTTCATTATTGTAAAATTAAAAGTTATTTAAATGTTGCTAAAATATATAAGTACGTAAATAAAGTAAATCCAATAAGATTAGATATTAATAAATTAGATGGACATAAAATTTGTAGTAAAACATTATGATTGCCTACAAAAATAGCCAAAATGAAAAACAAGTTAAAATGAAAAAATCTCATAATCTTGTCAAACCTCCATCACTGTGATTTTTTTTTGTACACTAAAAATTCTGGAGATTCATTGTTCAGTAGTTCAAATATGCATGTACCATCCATTTCTAATTCCTTCATGGAGGGAAAATGTGCCCATCTTATAGTGAGACATTGTACCACACCATTTGGCCTTAAATTTGTAGTGATATCCCAATTTTGATGTGAAGAGTCGTGAATTTGAACACTACGCACGAATTTTGGCCAATGCTGGTTGGCAAATCTTCTCGGTATAAACTGCAATGTCATGAATGAATTATTAGTCTTGAGGTCCTAATTATAGACTTAGTACAACTATAGAATGAAAATATTTATTCAAAAGGAAAATTACAATTTTTCGATGGCCATATTTATGGGGTGTTAACTTCACTTTGAATGCAGGATTATCCATATTCGAATTGTTGCTTTCTTCACCTTCTTCGAAGATGTCCGACTCATATTTCACTTCTAACCCAGAATCATCCATTACGACTACATTAAATGTGGAATTTTCGGTATATTCAAACATTAGGCAATAATCATTGTATAAATTGTGATGATCGAAAAATTGCTCCCATCTATCAGTTAAATAAAATTTCCCATTAATTGTTTCTAATTTTATTGTCGCAATTATACCATCGTACGTAATTACACGTACTGTATCGCCGAATTCATGTCTCCAGTCTTTCACAAATGCTCTAGGAATCATCTATAAACAAATATATACTGACGAAAACTATAAGTAAACTATGAGAAAAATTCATTCCAGCTAAAAAATAATAATAGTGTATGACTAACCAAATTGATGCCTGATTGAGGGAATTACTGATAGTTATGTAAAAATGACGTGGAACATCCATTTTTAAGCACTGTAGTGGTACAATTTTTACAGCGATATATGTACATATTTTTTTCATATGAATGATTGAATAAGTTTTTATAACATTATAATAAAAGGAATAAGAGATTGTATGCATCTATAGATTTTGTGGTACAAATCAATCGATCTTCGAATAAGTTATAACTTAAAAATATAGAATTAAAATATAAGATGTAAAATATAAGAGGGTAAATAAATAAAGACCTGTTTTAGTGAAGCAGCAACAAGTCTGGAGTAACATATGCAAATTTGGAAGGCTAAAAAATCTTGTAAATAAATATTGAAAACACATAATTATATAGGTTAGAAAAATGTACTTTTCGTTCTTATTCATTTAGCGCCTTGTGAAAGAAAGAGGACAATTTATTTGCCACATTTTAAAAGAGGACAAGGCCCCATGTGTCATACCTGCACTCCTATTGTTACATAGAATAACCCAGTACGCTATTTTTTCACATGCATTTACATTATTCGACCTTCTTTTTTTATTTCGTGGGGTCCATTTCCTTTTTCCAAAGTCAACTTTTTGGCCGAAAAGAACAAAAAAATCTCCTGTTTTTCACTACATGTGACAAAGAAGGGGGTAAGATCATAATTCTATGCTGCATTAATGACTACACCCTCCACTGACACGGCAACAATGTCTGAATTACATGGCTCAAAGATTGTAGATCTCATTGAATTTCACGAATGTTATAATGCCAAAATATATTTTCAGAAATCAAACAAAAATGGGGCGCTTGGTCAGTAAAGAGGGTTGAAAAATGGATGAGATAATAAAATACTTTCGTGTGAGCCAAACACACGATTTGAAAAGAGGTACTAAAAATAGACAAATTCTAATTAAAACGGTTCAAGGGTTACAAAAGTAGATGAATTATATTATTGAAAATAACTATTCTCGTTGTTTAAAAAAAATACAAGAAAAAAAATTTATTGAGATTTTTTCTTTTTTTACATTATATAAGTTCTTTTTACAATTATACATTTTCGTTTTTACTTTACTTACTTCCAAATTATTTTTGACACTCTAGATATATTAATCTGTTTATTAGAATATGATTTCAATAACAATAAATATTTTAATATTTATAACAAAAGAAGTCTAGAGATAAAATTAAATAGCGAAAATTTAGGGTAATTGACACAAAACATCCTTATCGTTTGCATTCATTGTGAAATCATCCCTATCATTTTAAATTTGGCATTTACAACCCTATTTCAACCTTTTTTTTGCGAAGTTGGTCCTTTCCATCCACTTCGTTTGTTCCTTCCGTTAAATATACACGTGGATTGCATTTAAATCAAAATGAAAAGGGTATAAAAGTCAAAGCACCATTTTTTAATTTAAGGAGTGGACGTGAAGGCTGGAAGAGAGAGAGAGAGAGAGAGAGAGAATAGAAAAGAAAAAATTACCTGGATAAAGAATATATTAATTTCAAGAGACACAAAGCATAAAAATAAAAATAGAAAAAAAATTTACCTGAATTTTATTTTGTATACAAAACTGTGTTTGTGCAAAGTATGTGAAAACAAACAACAAATTCTATATTATCGAAATTTACCTGAATTTTTTTATACTTCATAAATATAAAGTTCGATTTTTTTACTTATAAGTAGTTTTTTACAAGTATAAGCCAAAAACAATTTTCGAAATTTATACTATTTTAAAAATTTCAATTCAAAAAAAGAAGAATACGTAAATATTTATATTTAATTAAAGAAATGAAATATATTCGAATATTTAACTTGTACATAGCCCTTAAAAAAAAAAAAAAAAAATCATTTTTTCTTCAAAATAACTTTATGTGAATTTTATACTTATAAGTACTTTTCACGTTTTATAAACAAATTTAATTTCGTTATTAGTATTTTTTGTTTTTCATAATTTTGTTTGAAAAACGAAATTATTTGTTTAGTTATAAAAAACTTTTTATATTTTAAAAATAAAGAATCGCTTTTCTATAAAAAAAAAAAGTTTTTTACAAAAATATTATTACTAATTTTATATAATCTAATTCAAAGTTGATAATGTGAAAAATGGAGAAAAAGTACGCGTTAAACTATTTTCGAGTTGAGCTTTCCAACAACCAATTAATCATACGTCATTTCAGTGTATTGTCATCTCCACTACCCATTACTTTGAATTCAGTGATTGTCATCTTCAACCTGCATTTTCCTTGTCCATTAGTTTGAATCTGACACACAATCTTTCTTCTCTACTTTTTCACGCTTTCAATTATCAAACATTTATTTCAGAAGAAAAATATGTATTTAAATCATTTCTCTTTTTACAAAGTAATTAATTCTCTATTTCTATATAAAATATTAAAAGTTACGTGTAACTAAAAAAATCACGACTAATAATAAGATTAATTTAATTTATAAAATGTACAAAAATAACCTATAGATCTGTTTTTTCCTTTATTTCCTTAAGATTAAAAAAATTAAAATTATCAAAGCAACATATGGGTCAAAAAATAATTTATTGTGACGTCATTTTGATTTTTATGTTATTTTAACAGTTTATTTTCATTTTCTTTCATAATTTCAACATGAATATTTTAGAGATTCTGAAAATATCCAATAGTGGCTAAAAAAATTACATAACACTTGAATAAAATACATTCTTTACAGTGATTAAATAACTACATTCAATTACTCCATTACAATCAGGCAAATTACATTACTCCATTACAATTACGAAGACAGACGTGGATGAAGGAAATATTCATTATTTAAAATATCAACGGCAAATTTTTGTCTATATATAATCATCCTATCTAGTGAAACCGATTCTATCGGAAATTCTAGAACAAAGCATTCTATTTATTTAAGCACGAAAACTCCACAGTTCGGCCTATAAGAATTTTTTTTTTGTAATTAGTACTTACGAATAAATATCTATTATATTAAACAAGAATTATTTTCGATGCTTACCCGTTGTTTGCACAGGGTAGATATGGTATAATCTTTAGCTTCATTTTTTTATTTCTATGTTTGCTTATATCCCGTCTCCCTGCAAAACATTTGTCGAACAGTAAAGAATTAATCACGTTAGCTGTCGCGTTCACATGTGTCTTTACTTGATCAGATGTATGCTCGTTGTGGCTGCAATCGTACATTTGGAATTTTCACTCCAGAATATTGACCAAAAAAAGGTACCAAGTATTTTCGGGAAATGAACATGGAATTAATAAGTACTAACACCCTACCCATGGATGACTTTCTACTGGCATTTTGCCCTTCACATATTTGTTCAAAAGAGTTCCATTTGATTCACCTTTATTATTTCCAGCCTGAAAATCCCTTTGCCAAATCATCATATTGGCACACTCATTTTCAAATTGGAAGTCCATGATTGTATATTCTTTAGACACACGGGGGCAACCATTAATAATTAATCGTCTCAACAACTTCAGCTCCAATTCAATTGCCTGGTGGAATAAATTGATAAAAATCAAATATGTTAAGTATGAAATAAAATTAATTTTTATGAATAAACAATACTGACCGCAATATTTATATCTTTTGTTCTATCCAATAAAGTTTTCCACCAATCTTTTCCATAGACGTTCCCAATGACATCTTCCAAATACGCACTGCATAGCATAATTAAAATTAGAGTTGAATAAATCAAAATAAAATTATAGTATTTAAACCAATAATAAAAAATCATCTTTCTAACCTTGATTCGTTCTCCGCTATCCAGTTTCTAAGAGTCGAGTATTTTTGCGTAGAATAGTCTTCCAAAGGACGTCTTCTAGAAAACGAAGGTTGTATTTGTTTTCCCTTCTTTTTCTTCTCTCGTTGTGATGTTTCAGAACTTTCAACTTGTTAAGACGTTGAAGCATCTTTCGGTCGGTCATCGGGAATTGGACAAGTACCAATAGGAATGTCTTCTTACGTACAACTAATAATGGCTTCCATGTCTGATTTTCATTTAGATAATTTCTACAATGTATTCTTATTTTGTTCATCGACATAATATTGCATGGAATCTAAACTGGTATCTACATAAGAGTGCATGATCTGGTAATGGTCTTCTTGCCATTTTTGTTGTTGTTGGAATAATTGTTCCTCTTTCTCCAAATGTGTGTTAAAAAAACTTGATAATGAGTTATCCATGTAGGAATGCATAGTAGATTGCATATAATCCTCTTGCCATTTTTGGTGTTGTTCGAACAACTGTCTTTGATTGTCATAGATTTTTTTGTTCTCAAGTTGCTACATATATCAAACACCTCTTTTATCATCTCTTGCTTCTGGACACCAAGTAGTTCTGTCATCCGGTCTTCAGTTACATAATTAGAGGTGCTAGATCCAAAATTAGGCCCCGCTACTGGTGAAGTTCTTGACGTACTAGGAATGGTCGTCTCTGGCACATATATATTATCCCTTTCTTTCTCAAAAGTATCATCTGGGATTTGTTGTGTCACATTGTCTAATTCTCCACCAACGATGCCATCTACTACATGATATTCATTATCAGCTGGCAATGAATGATTTATATAGCAAGATGTCTCCAATTCTTCCTCCGTAGGATGTAACCTTGAAACAACTTGAATCTGTAATTTTAATAAAATATCAAAATAATTTTTTCATTTTGTTTTTAAATAATTAAACACAAATGTAGTTATATATTCATTAAAAGAAATCGTACCTCTCGAGTAGCTAGAAAATGCTTAATCTTTTTTTTTTTCAGTCAGCAATTTATTAGGCCTCCACTTATACATTCGTGGACTCTGTGCTATTTTGTATCGGCGCCGTCCAATTTTTTTTTTCAATTTCTGGAAATGCCTCATAAATCCAATACTGTATCGCAATTACAAATTATAATTATTTTTCTTTTACAAATAAAGTAAGATACTTACAATGCATTTGTTAGTTCCGTTGCACTCTTTCTGCTCTTTGCAATTGTGATTCTTGTAGTGAATTTAACAAAAAAAAAATCATTTTCGACCCCAAGGTTATCCAAGAAATTCATCAAGATGCTCGACCATACCAAAAGTTTTGTAATCAATAATTCTTCCAATTGGTTTTATAACACATTCCACCAACATAACTAATCCCAACTTAAGTTTATCTACTAAGTCTTCACATTCATGGAAAACTTCAAATAGCATTTTCATCCTAATTCTTTGACTACCATTGAAATAATGATTTCTAAGACGATGGTTGCTATGATCAGTCTCCATAACCGGTTCATGATAAGGTAATCTAGTGATAAGACAAAATTCTTGCATACCAAATCTAGCAATACGATCATCTAATTTTACTCATACATCGTTATTTTTGCCACAGTCAACAAGCTGCATTACGAATTCATGTATTAATCTACTACTAAATAGCTCTTCCTCTTCTCTATAAATAATTCCAAAAAAAAATCCATAAAATTACTACACATTATAGAACATTGTTGATTTGCATCTATAAAATCTATAAAGTCTTTAAGATATTCCCAGCTTGGATATTGAGTAATAGTAGCAGAAAACCATTTATTTGGAGACAATATATATTCCAAAGACATCTGCATAAATAATTTGAAAACAAACTATTTGTAAACAAATTTAACAATTCTAAACAAGTAGCGAAATAATATTTATACAAATTCAAAAATACATGAACAGCTAGAAAAAAACACAAATTCAAAAACCTCCGTGCACGGATGTTTTTGAACCTCCGTCCAAGGAGGCATGAAACTTCCGTGCACGGGGCTTCCCCCCTCCTCCCCCAACTTTAAAATTTTACTTGTATAAATATGGAGGTAAAAATCTAAATACTTACCTTTTGATATGGATGGTGCTTGCTGAAATATGGTTGGCTTTGATTTTAGGTAGAGAATGAAGATTTTGGGATATAAAAGGAATGGTATAGATAAGGATAAGATATAAATGATATGTGTGGTAGTAAAAAGTCTTCTACACAAACAAAATATTCTTTTTTCACTATTTATTATACATATACATATTTCTATATTATTTAAATTAAATGAATTGATCTATAACATCATTTCTTTTTCGACAAATAAATATAAAATGTAAATATTTCTTTCAATATTATTTAAACTAAATCTTATCTTCATTCATTAAAACAATTCAAAACTATTTCTATATTATAAGTACAACTTCACTTCTTCATGCTATATATTAAACGTCTAGCGTAGTCCTCATATGTTTGCCCATTCCAAACTATCACGTTTTCAAATTTTAATAAAATAAAATAATAAGAACTAATAAAATAATTTTATATTCCATTACAGTCATATCTTTGTACTATAAATGAAATTTGAAAGTAATCTTCATATCTTATGCCAACGATTATACAGTAACGTATGGCTATTTAGATAATAAGGTATGGCTGTTGATGAGATTTTATAATGTAAATTATTTTATTTGTTTTAACCATAAAAAAAAGTTTCATATTCAGTCTTTCCTTTTTTAATTTATTTATCCCATCTATGCTTCATTTTTTACAGCTGACATATGAACACATAAATACTTTAACAATGTCCTTCCAACATCGTATACCCAACATTAAAATATTTATTAAGCCACTATGTCTCAATTTTTTTTATAAATAGGCTAACACAAAGCTTCAGCTTCACATCTGCAACTGCAAAAACACAAAAATTATCGTTACCAGTTAAAGCTTCCATACTTTAAGAAATTATATCTTCTATTCATACTATCTTCTTCTTCTTCTTCTTCTTCTTCTTACTACATATCAACAATTGCTATAACAAAATGGCTATACCTCATAAAATCATTCCACAATGTTCAACTTTAGAAATCAATTGGTCAGCAAAAGTGATCGTCGCAGGAAAACAATCCTCAAAGACTGCTCGAAATTTCAATAGCCGTTATCAAAATCTTACTCTCATGGATTTAGAGGTACAAATATAACTCTCATTTCAATAAATTTTTACCTATCATTATACCTGTATACTTTCTAAATGTTCTCATCTTTTTCTTTTTTTGAATAGGGAAACAAAATCACCGCAACAATGTATGATGCCAATATCATTGCACTAAACGATCATTCGAACTTGGAAAAATATACATTGTGTCAAATGCAATAGTTAAAGACTTCAAAAGTGAATTTCAGAGTTCTCCTGGACAAAAAATGTGGAATATAACAGGAAGAACAAATGTTGAAGAATTAAATAAAGACAATTTGAATCTCCTGCTCTCAAAATTTGAACTTACTGCGTTTGATCAACTAGAGAGGCATATGAACAAAAATACAGACATAAGTAAGATTTCCACTGCATTACATTTAAACAAATCATTTCAATAACATTTCATAATTTATTTTTTATGTACAAATTTATTGCATGCAAAATGACATATAAAATATTTCATAATTAATTTTTACGTTCAAAGTTATTGCATGCAAAATGACATATAAAACAATTTACGTAACCTTGTAGGCGTGATGGGTATCGCTATAGGTGTTCGACAGAAAAGCCTTATTCAAACTAACTTTGGTACAGAAGCTTATCTACAAGATGAAGCCGAAGAACAACTAACCAAGAGGGGGGTGAATTGGTTATTTGAAACTTTTTCGAAAATAAATGCAAATTTAAGCAAATAACTATGAATAGACAAGACAACACAAAAGTAATAAGAAGAAGGGAAAAGAAAGTGCAAATGATGTAATAAGGAGGTTCGATCCAATCACGATCTACATCCCCCGTTAACAAGCTCTCCGTCATGAGCAAGACCTTTTTCATTATCTTTGATTGACTTATGGTGCAATCCAACCCTTACAATGCTTCCGATGACTTACAACTAAGGAGCACTGATCCTTTTATACGTTGAGCTTTCCGGGACCTCAACAGGACCCACAATTTGATGAACAAGAAAATCAAAGTTACAATTGAAAAGTTTCTCGCTTAACAAATGGTATGAACACACTAAATATTAAGAGAGAATTATGCACAACATTTCAATAAATCACAAAAAATATAGCTCAAGTGTTGTGTGAAAAACTTTTATTGAGATATATGATTTTTCAAAAAGTTATTCACTCAAAATGTTTTTCAACAAATAAATATTTTGATCTCTTAAAGATTAAAAAACAATGTAGATAAGATCAATAAATAACTCTCTTTAATGTTCTAGAATTCTTGCTTTAAAAGAGGTACAAAAAGATGTATTTAAAGCCATGAATCAGGAGATCCGGACAAGTAATTCGAACGTTCGCTTGGTATCCGGACGGTTAACTAGCCGTTTGTCAAAAGTAAAAAATCCGACCGTTGAACACAACATCCGGACGTCCGGATGGGCCAATTATTTTGACCATCGAATTTTCCTTTTTCGTGAAAAATGTTCTTTAAGGTACTTGTAGGGTTTTCTAATGTATGTCGTATAAATAAGTAATTTTATAAAGATTTAATTGTGAAAAATCCAATTACTTATATTTAAAAATAATTTTTATCCAAGTAAAGTTTGTCATGATAATTCTTGTGCATAAAAATTGCTTGAGCTATAATCGATGCAAAATATTAAAGTGTTATACCTTTACATTTGAGCATAGAAATGCATTTATAGCTAATGTCTTCAATTTCTTCATCCAATGCGATTTTGTGTGTGAAGGCTCGATTTCCATTTCCTCGTTCGTAAATCTTCAATCTTGCTTATGTGTTTGTCATTTTGTGTCAATGTTGCATGATTCTCGATCTAGATTTTTCGAGTCATAAATTTGCAATAATCACTATCAATCACTTAAATTCAATTTGTTAGAATTAAACGCAATTTGTTTGTGATAATCAAAACAAGAAGTCAACCATTAGGTTAACAATTTTCCCTTTTTTGATTATGACAAACAATATGATTTTTGCAATATAAATGTTAAACAAATTGAATCAGTATCAAATAATCAAGAGCTCGATTTTTTATATAGCAAGTAATATTCCCCCTATCGACATGCATATAACATTATATACCTTTCCCCCTTGCTATGTTGTTCCTATGTTGTATAATCATCTGCTCATCTTCCCCCTTTTGGCATAAGCAAAAAAAATATAGCAGTTCAAGTAGCATGAAAAAAAAGTACCATTTAGGAAGTCAACCATTCAAAATATAAAGGAGCAATAGATAACAACTAACATGATAATAATAGTAGGCAAGAAAGTAAACTAAGGGGCCGGAGGTGGGGGCGGAGGAGGAAATCTAGCATAAAATTCGATGAAAAATGTAGTCTGCTGAGCCTGCATCTCAGCCTGTCGCTGCTGCATCTCGAGTTGTCGATCTTGGATAGATATCTGCTGAGCCTGCATCTGAAGAAGTAGGCTACCCATGCCGTCAACCGAAGAGGTAAGAAAATCAATCCGCCCATGGAGGAGAATATAGTGCTCCTCGGTAAATGTGGAACGCCCTCGAAAGTAGGAGGCACGCTCGAGCCAGGAACGTCGGATGCGGGAGCAGGAACTTCAGGTTCTTCATCTGATTCAGCTTCATCTTCAAACGGGAGAGTGGATGGACCAGAGGTAGGATCGAACCCTTTCATATGAGCCACCCATTGCCCATGTTCATTTACTATCTTCATCCGTTTTAAGGTCTAAATGTTAATAGTATCGGTAGGGCGTAATTTTATAAAATCTTCACCGTCCAATGAAACATTAAAATGCTTAAAAATTTTTGTGAGAAGCATCCCGTAAGGTAAAGCTTTGGTGTATCGTGATGCATGCACAAGCTTCATAAGGCCAAGTGCAATAGTAGGAAAATCAATTTTACGCCCGACTAGTAGAGAATCCAAAATGAAGAGATCGAAGTGATTGACTTCGTCTCGATGACCTTTGCAGGGAAAAACAACGTGAGCAATTATATTTTGCAAAACCTTGCATGGAAGTGTTAATTGATGTGCACTAATTTTTGTGATGTTCTCTAAGTCTTTCCCCGTAACTCGACGACATGCCTCAGAAGGATCGTATCCTTCTATGGTTAGTGGAGACTTATGTAAAAACACTTCTCAGTCACAAGGCTCAAGATTAAGTGGTTGACGAATTAATGCTTTTGAAATTCTAAACGGAACATTTCTAACAAAGCAAGTGATTTCGTTTGAATGTGTCGTAAAATTTATTTTTTGATAAAATTCTTTCATAAGGTGTGGATAAGCGTGTTCTTCCATTGTGGTCATGGTTATCCATGCCATGCGTTCAAAACATTCTTCAATATAAAAAGCGGGAGCTTCTATTGTAAAATCTATAAAATCAACATTCTTACCAATTAAAATAGGTGATTTTTCAAAAGGGTTTGTTGGCTCCTCCGGCTCCAAATCCATCTCCTCATCCGATGGTGAAGGGGGTCATTGCACAATTTTTCTTCCCCATTTTCCATGCCTAAAACCCAACATAGTAGATAATTTCAAGAAATGGGTGAGATTTCCAAAATTTCAAAAACAAAAAAAAAAAACCCCAATCAGATGATTTCGAGGGCACGACTCAGAAGTGGTGATTTTCTATGAAAAATTAAGCTACTGGATGAGAAGAGTAATGGTGTATGAAATGCTTGAACTATTATGAGTGATTTGCATGAAAATTTCCAAGATTGAAGAGGGATTCGAGCAGAGTTTCAAAACCGATTTTGGAAGAGAGATTTTC